AAAAAAAAAAAAAAAAAAAAAAGAGAGAGAGAGAATATCAGCCTAAGTCGCATTTATAAATTTTTTAATAAAAAATTAAGACCAATTCACCATATTTTTTTAATATATTATCCAACCAAATTCAGCAACTGTTTATAAGGCAATTATTTGTTTAGTAGATAATTTCGACCTAAATGTTTACATTTGCTGAAAATTATAATAAATTCGACACACATTTTATTATTCTTTATTTGTTTGAGGGTACCGTTCAAGTTTCAGCGCTAACAATTTTCTATCATGGTCTCATGTGCTATGACGATCAATAAAAGTCAAAATCAGTCTCTCTCACACGTCCGCTTAATCTTGAAATACCCTGTTTTTAGTCATTAATAGTTTTATGTTGCTCTTTCTAAAGTCAATGTGAAGGGTTTGAACATAATGATATGTGGTGATGGTGATCCCGATGATAGGAAAACCATGGATGTTGTATACAAATAAATGTTTAATAAGCCCTTCATCACTAAAAAACACACACATTATTAAAGTTGTCACTTTACATAAGAAAAATTTTGCAATGATTACCGAAATATAAGCTCCTCCTCATCATTTTCCATTCCCCTTTCCAACATGGCGAAATCCATCATCCACCTCATACAATAACAACAACATCAACAACATAGCCTATTAGTCCCAAGCAAGTCGGGGTAGACTAGAGATGAAACCCAGGAGAAACACAAAAGGAGTCGAACCAAAAGGAATAGCTCGGAAAAAAAAAAGAGAGAGGAAGAAGCAAAAGTCACGGTTCTGGCACGTTGATAGCGAGCCTCCAAGCGCTCCTATCCACCGCTAAATCCTTGGAGATATTCCAATCTTTAAGGTCTCTCTTAACCGACTCTTCTCAAATGAGTTTAGGCCGACCTCTACCTCTCTTAACATCCTCGACTCGCTGTAGAACTCCCCTACGCACCGGTGCATCAGGAGGCCTCCGTTGGACATGTCCGAACCACCTCAGCCGATGTTCGACCAATTTCTCCTCAATTGGAGCCACCCCGACCCTATCTCGAATATCCTCATTCCGGATTCTATCCCTTCTTATGTGCCCGCAGAACCAACGCAACATACGCATCTCTGCTACACTTAGTTGTTGGACATGTTGCCTTTTTGTAGGCCAACATTCAGCACCGTATAGTATCATCTGGCGAATCGCCGTCTTATAGAACTTACCTTTTAGCCTTTGTGACACCCTCTTATCACAGAGAACGCCCGACGCCTGACGCCATTTCAACCAACCGGCTGCAATTCTATGCCTAACATCAGCATCAATGCCGCCATCCTTTTGTAGCACCGATCCCAAATACCGGAAAATCTCCTTCTTGGCCACCACTTGCCCGTCAAGGGTAACGTCACCATCATCATGAGAAGCCGTGCTGAAAGCGCACGTCATGTACTCGGTCTTCGTCCTACTAAGTCTGAAGCCTTTCGATTCTAACGCGTCCTTCCACAGCTCCAACTTCCTATTTACCCCTGCTCTACTCTCGTCAACTAGCACCACATCATCAGCAAAGAGCATACACCAAGGGATATCATCTTTTATGTCCCTTGTGATCTCATCCATCACCAATGCAAATAGATAAGGGCTCAATACTGACCCCTGGTGTAGTCCAATTTTAATTGGGAAGTCGCTGGTGTCGCTCCCACATGTTCGGGCACACGTCATCGCATCCTTGTACATATCCTTGATGAGGGTAATGTACTTAGATGGGACTTTATGCTTTTCTAAGGCCCACCACATGACATTTTTCGGTACTCTGTCATAAGCCTTCTCAAGGTCGATAAAGACCATGTGCAAAGTCCTTCTTTTGGTCCCTATATCTCTCCGTCAACTGTCGTATTAGAAAAATAGCCTCCATGGTCGACCTTCCAGGCATGAACCCAAATTGGTTTTGGGTCACACTCGTCACTCGTCGTAGGCGATGCTCGATAACCCTCTCCCAGAGCTTCATCGTATGGCTCATCAACTTAATCCCACGGTAGTTACCACAACTTTGAACATCTCCCTTGTTCTTGAAGATCGGTACTAAAGTACTTCTCCTCCATTCATCAGGCATCTTGTTTGACCGGAAAA